TTCTCCCTCATTATCCTCATTCTTCCATTTGCTAATTCAACAACAAAAATAGTAACAAAGTCTTGTGCTCCTATTATGTTCTTTTACATCGAGAATTACTCTTTATTTTCTCCTAATTGAACCTATGTTTCTGCCAGTTTAAAAAAAACAGTCAAGGGCCTTGACCATTCAGGACACTGGGGGCTCCCATGGGTAGAGAGAGGATGTGGTAAGTGTGGTGGGGCAGCTCCAGAGAATAGGTGGGCGTTGAACTTCTTCAGGAAAGGTCCTGCAGCCTAAATAACCCATCCGAGATATAACAAACTCAAATTTGATCCATGTCAACCCAGACATTCAAGGTCCTTAATTTGAAAAGACAGGGCCAGTTGTGGTAGACAAGCTTCTAGTGAATGACCATTCTTAGCATCACAGGGATGCTTGGTCATGGGTTGTAAGGTCCATGTAAATTAGTGCAAAGGATCCTGGAATCTAAGTCCAGCCTCTGGGTGGAGAAGGACTGCCTTGAGATATACAATGGGATCCAAGTCTAGCCAACAAGTTGAAGTTCATGAATAGACTGCAGGTCTAGTGGAGACCTAGGAAGCAGACTATTTAAACTTGTAGATGGGCATGGCTGGGACAAAGTGGGATGGACACAAGGGATCAGTAGGCAGAGTTTTTGTTGTTTATACACATCTTTGCTCCCGGTTCCTCTTTTACTCTCTCAGAGAGTTCATTCTCTCTTTTGCCTTCAACCTTTATCCCTATCTGGGCAACAACATTTTTAATCCTGACCATATTTCATGTCATCCAGAGACCATCATCATTTGGATGTTTCCTGTCACTCAAATACAATATATCCAGAACCAGTGTGAGTAGTGAGCATCCTTTACCTTTCATCTTGCTGCAATTATACCCGCGCCTACCAGGTACACAAGCAGTGTTAAGAGGCCAGTGCTTTTCTGAGCCTCCTGCTGCTGCGTGCTTGGTTCAGAGTAAGGTTACCTTTTGCCCCTCTGGCCCCTCTTGCGGGGTTCAGCACTCAGTCCCCCTCCTCCTCCTTAGGGAACTGGCCATCATTACCAGCCCCTACAAAAGGGGAGTGTCATCTCTCAGTGTCTTCCACCTTCTAATCTCACGAAACATCACACACCTTTTAGTTTGTACAATGAGAAAGAAATTTTAAATAGGAGAAATTACAGAGTTTCAAAGTGTAAAATCCCCACTGTTTGTTGGAGTTTAATTAGAGGTAGATATGATCTAAGTTTATTTGTCTCTAAAACTTTCCTTATTCTAGGTAACCATTGCCTTCAACAAATAAGTATTTCTTCTGACGAGGATCTCTTTCTCTCTCTCTCTTTCTATCTTTCTTGTTCTCCATTCAATGGAAAGATTATAGGAAAGATTTAAATTAGTATTACAATCTACAGCTGAAGTTTTTTCTCTGCATACAATTTGGTTCTAGAAGGAAATTTGGCAAAATTTACCAAGAAAGTTTGACCCAGCAATTCCACTTTAAGGAGTTTATTCTAAGGAAAGAACAAGTATGCTCTCACAGATTTATGTCCTGGATATTTATTTCAAAGTTACTCGTAATCATTAAAAATGGAAACAATTTACATGTAAAAATAGACGAATGGTTGAATAAGTGATTATAGCCATACAATATAATGCACTTATTAAAAATCCTATTTTGAAAACTATTTCATGACATGGAAAATGCCCATGACATGACGTTAAGGAACAAAACAAAAAACAAGAACAAAAAAATAGTTATTGAAACTGTTTTTATTATGATCCAAAATTTATCTTAAAAGTGTGAGGGGCTGTATGCGGCATAAATAACACAGATAGAAAAAGTAAATATAAGTTAGCATTCTAGAATTTTAACTGGTTATCTGTCAGTAGTGGGAATGTAGAAGATTTCTACATTTTCTTTACAATTTTATGTATTTTCCAAATATTCTTCTAGGACCATGTATTATTTTATTGATTCACTCACTTACTCAATAAGCATGGCGTGACTCCATGGTGCCGAGCACTCTGCTTTGTGCTCAGGAGATAAAGCAAACAAGACAGAACAGACATAGTCCTTGTTCTGCTCAGAGCTTATAATCCTCTAAAGCTAGAAGGAAAAGTTTTTTTAAACATTCATTTCATTTGATCCAGTAATTCCACTTCTGGGAATCTATTCTAAGAAAATAATCAAGAATGCAAAACAAAATTATCATACAGAAATGTTTATTAGTGCATTAATCATAATAGCAAAAAAATCTAGAAATCACCTAAATACTCAACAGTAGGGGGTGGTTAAAGTAATAATAGCATATTCATATAATGGAATAATAGGAAGCCATTAAGATTGTGTTACTGAAGAGTTTTTAATAACATGGGAAAATGTTATTAATATTTTCCATTAATATCAATGGAAAAAAATAAGCTACAAAATTATATAGAATCTGACCTCAATTATGTAGCTAGCAGTCATAAAAGAGAAATTCAAATGTTAACAGGTGTTATTTTTGCATGGTGAAGTAATGGTTGGTTTGTATTTTTGGGTCTACGCTCTTTGTACGCCCAAGTTTTCTACAATCAATAAGGTTTAACTTTATAATCAGGAAAACCATGTTGTTTTTATTTTTTAAGACTTGATTCAAAGATTATCTGTTCAAAATTCAAGGAACATATGAAAAGACAATTTAACGTTTCCTCAAAGTCTGCATTGCTGTGATGGAGAAAGGAGAAATAAGGCCCCTTCTTAGGAGGGAATGGATGACCACACACGCAGGGGAGTGGCATTTTTCAGAGGGCCTGAGGGGACTAATTCACTGTGCTCACGAGGCTGAGCAAGGAAAACCAGAATGAGCCCTGGGAGGACCTGGAGACAGAGCCCTGAAGCCTCATGCCTAACCCTACCTTGAACTCTAAACTTAAGCATGCCACTGATAAGCCCCCTTGGCCGTATCTGTGCATTAGGGACATGGGGACATTCTCACTGCAGTCATTTCCCCTAGCTCTTGCACCAAAGATTCTCTGACCTCACTGAGCAGGTGTCACTCAGAGTCAAGGCCCTGTCTATGGTTTGCCTAAAGAGAAACAACAGTGGAGACCGAGAAGCCAGAGTCAAGGCAGCTGAAATCTGGCTTCCTGCGCAGTCCACTGTGCAGATTTGATCCTGCCTCCTGCCTCTAACCTTCTAAGTTCAAAGGGCAGGAGCAGGGCTGTGGAACATGGCGTCATTTCCATTAAGCCAAAGCAGGAGAGCTGCCTGGTGGTGCTCCATCAGCTGCCAAATACTCTAGCTCATGCTGACTGACAGGTCTCCCTCGAGCTCATGCAAGGCCCCGACACAGTAAACATACCAACTTTCCCTCTAATGCATGGATCATCGAGGGAACTCGTGTAAAGCTGAAATGGCACCGGGTTTTGCTGCACCCATGTTCAGTTATATATCATGCTGGGGTTTTCTAAGTTGAAGGGGGATTCTGTCAGGCTAAAGAAGCAAGTCAGTGCAGACAGATTTATAGGTGTACCTCCCTTTCAGCCAACTGAATATCTATAAACCAGAGTAGCATAAAAGATAAATTTACAAAAGAATTCATTTCACCACTTTGAGTAATTGGTTTCCTTCTGCATTTAAAATATAAATTGATTCACCACAACTTGTGTTGCACACAACATACCAAGCACATAGAAGTTGCATAAAAGGAGGTGTACACGGAACTTAGAAATCAGCATTTGGACACCACTGCAAAGGAAACGTAGCTTTCTCTGATTTTAAGTGTTCATTGACTACAGAAGCTGAAAAAGACCTCAAATCAATTGCAAATCAAAAACAATCTTTACGCAAAAGGGTTCAGTAGTTTGGGAATTTTTTTTTGAAGTTTTTCTCTTAGCTCCTTCTTTGGGTTTCTTATATTCATTCATCTCAGCAAGGCCACCAAAAAAACCCATTTTAAAGTCACAGTGGCAGGTGTTTTGAACATATCTCCACATCCCAGGTAAACATTGAACACTTGTGTACACATAGATATGCATGTTAGAGACCTAGGACACCCACAACAACGTCAATACAAATAAAGGTGTGCTCTAATAACCAACTTTTCATCATGCCACCTGAGGAGACATTCATCCCGGAATGCTAGCCCCAGTATTTGAAAATGCCAACCTTTTCACTTTCAACCAGCTTCTGAACCCCTAACCTGTTGGCTGCAGGAAAGAAAGAGCTCTCAATTGCCTTTGCCAAACACGTTTCTCTGTGGATACAAGACAGGCTAAAAACATCGGCCTGACATTACAAGAGAAATTCACAAAAACTCCTGGGTAAAGCTCTCCGGATTCCTACTGCAGAGTCCCTCAAGACGAGTGTAGCTGCCTCTCATTGCTTAGTGAGAACTCCTTGCAGCATGGAGGGAGTTGAATTAGAATCCTGAGTATTTTATGACTCTAATGAAATGCTCTTCGCATCCAAATAATATTGGAGAGATGAGGTAGGAGCAGAGTCCCTGAATCTTCAGGAAAAAAGTGAAAAATGACAAATTTGCCTAGGCATACTTAAGACTGGAAGACACCAAGAGGCTGCCCAATAGAATAGCAGGCCTGCAGGGACTTAGAAAGCCCCTACCAGGGGCCAGCCCCTTGGGTAAGCCCTGGGCATCCCTTCAGGCTTTCAGGGTACAGGAGAGAACATACGGAAAGAAGTAAAGCTGGAGTCAAAAGGAAAGTGTCAGGGAGATGAGTGGAGAAGGAATGAAGAAAAGAGGATTTAATGCAGAAAACAGGGGATGTGTGAAGAAAGAGAGACTAGTGATGGAAGAAAAGGAAAGAGGAAATAGAAAAGAAAATGGTGAATAAGATATAGTCCCCCATTGACAAGTGACTCACTGGCTGTCAGTTAAAACCCCAGGGTATGGGTGGCCAATCTCCACCTGGAACCAGGCACAATCCAGCCCCGAAGCTTTGTATCAATGCCATGGTCCTCCACGGACACTTTCTCCCCTTTCCACAAAAGGCAAGCTCACCTGTCGAAGGCCACAGCCGTCATGGAGTAGATACTGGCAAAGACAGCCGCAATGGGGAAGAAGTTGTGGAACTTGCAGTAGAACAGACCGTAGTACCACTCATTATGGACAGCGTAGGTGAAGTTCACCACTGTATTGAAAGCAGCCATGGAGGCCTCTGCGAAAGCCAGGTTCACTAGGAAATAGTTAGTCACTGTCCTCATCCTTTTATGGGCCAAGATGATCCACATCACCACCACATTGCCCACCACGGAGGTCACCACGATGACCGTATAGGCAACTGCCCAAAGGACAATTTGCCACGCCGGCTGTGCGAATTGGTTGGGCTCCGAGGTGTTTGTGGAGATATTTGGGAGGAGGTCTGAGTCAACTGGGAGGACGTTATCCATTCTTTCGCTAGGCGGTTAAGCCCTCCTCTCTGTGTACACCTGGCCTTTGCAGCAGGGTCCTGAGGCTGGCGCCTGGGGTCAGTGGTCTGCTTAACCAAGACGGGAGGGCTGGCAGGCTCTTTCTGGGCAGAACTCTTTCCTTGCAAGCAGGAGACTTGGCGCGCAGAAGATAAACGCTTCTTGATGCGTTGTCTGCCCCTCGTGGCTCTGAATTCCTTCACGTCCAAGCTTCAGAAAGCATTTGAGTTCAGAACCTGGAGACAGCGTCTCTCCTGCGTTTGGCTGGACAAGGGAAAGAAATTCCACGGGTCACGGTTCCAGGAAGCAGGAGACCCCCGCCTTGCCGCACCTGCTGCTGCTTGCAACTCTTGTTTCCGCTTCCTGCAGCGGGAAAGGCAAAGCCCTGTAGTGCGTGAGGACTTGGGGGGCGACGAGGGATGCTCGTCACAGCGCGACCCGTAGAAGTTCTGAGTCTATGTCCGGATTTGTGGTGCCCCGTGTCCAACTGGAGATTTTTTCTTTGCTTTCGCTGCCGCCGCCGCGGCTGCCTGCAGCTTCTCAGGCGCCTCTTGGCTCGAGTCCCGCTCGGCTCGGGAGTTAGCACAACCTCGGCCGGCTGCGCGCGAGGCTTTTATAACCCGCTGCAGAGACGTCACCGCGAAGGGGCAGTACCTGGGCTGCGTAGTCGCCAGTACCCGTGCGCAGCGCGGCAGCCACACCGGCTGTTGGCAACTGTCTCACTCCACCGTCGCATCCAACATGCCTTTTGCAGCTACCTGCTGTGGGAGTCTGCAAGCCGGCACCCCACGCACTCCGCAAGGGGGCGCTAGGTGGCCTCGGAGTAGTTGCGCTAGATGGGGTCTGCAGCTGGAACCACAGATGCACCAAGAAGAAAAGAAGAATTTGCCAAAGAGCTGTAGTGATGGACACTCAACTTCCAGGGAGGGCAGCCCGGAGCGCTGCGTCAGCTCTGCAGAGGCGCCTGCCTGTGGCTGTGGGAGTCCAGCAAGTGAGGGGCGACGTGCCAGCGCTGCGCTCCCGGCCGCGCTCCAGCCCGAGTGCACCGCGGGGCTCGCTCTGGCTGCTGCCAAGAAGCGAAAGGCGACGTTGCCCCATTCCAGGTGTCCGGAAAATAACTTTCCTGAGGTCGTATCTAGGAAACACTCCGCAAAAACCTAGTTCCTTTCCCTGGTGGGCCGATTCCGCCGGGAAGCAGTGTGAGGCGCTAAGCTTTGGGGACACATTCCCCAGCGGTGGGTTGGTCCCTCGCTGCATGGAAAGCTCCAGCTGAGCTCTCCAGGTGAGCCCCCGCCCGCGCAGGCAATGGAGACTAGGCTGGGGTCCCTGGGAAGCTCTGCGAGAGCAGGAGCCACCCATACGCAATGGGTTGCCCAGACGCGGGGCTCTGGGCTCTCTGCCAGCGCCCACTGCGGCCTCGCGTTCTTTGCTCGGGGACCCGGCAGCGGAAGCCTTCGCATTTCCCGGGCCTGCGGGCCAGAGCGGGGCCCGGGTTTGCGTCGGGGGCTCATCCCCCTCCCTCCTCCCAGTTTTGCATAGGGACTGGAGGGCAGGTCCCCTGCCTTCTCTCCCCACCCTCACTCTGCCCCTCGCTGGCTTTGAGGCCTCGTCTCCCAGTTCAAGGCCATTTCAAAACGGCCGCGATGGTGCCGGGCACTGGGAGGAGGCGGGAAGAACTAGCCAGTTGGTGCGAACCTTTTTGAAGACGAGATGGGCTGAGGTTCGGAGCGCCTTCCAGCCAGACTGCCCAGGAGATACGGTTCCGCGGGAATCGAACCTTCGGAATCGTTCTGGGGGCTATCTACCTCTCTAAGTCCCCGCTTTCAATGCGAGGACTCGGAAGTGTGGGACACGGATAGGGATGGGTAGCACCGCGGGGCACGGAGGCTCGGGTCGGCGCAAGCCAGCGCTCTCCCGAGAGCCGCGTTTACGCACTCGTCCTGCCCAGTTGCGCGCCTCTGCGGCGAGGGCGCAAAGTATCTCACAGGAAGCACTTTAAGGCTTAGAAATTTATTGTAGTGATTTATGCTGAGCCCAAATCGGATCCTCTCGCGGGGGCGGGAAATCGCTCGTTAGCGCTGGTTTTGTTGAAGCCTGGAATTCTGCGTTTATATGAATCACCCCTTGCACTGCATGGTTCTCCAGGCACCCCAAAACCTCCTTATTTAGAGGGGCAGCAAAGGACAGCCTTCTTGTGGCAGAGAAAGCCTTCTCTTCTACCTTGGATCTCTCATTACTGCCTCCACCACCTCGCAGAGCTGAGGGAGAGAGAGAGAGAGAGTCCACCTTTAATTTTTTCTCCAAAGCTGCTTAATGCTTCTTTCTCTCTTGCTCCCCGTCCAGTGGAGGCAGGCCAACGTTTGCTAAAGGAACTTTACTGAATGCTTAGGGGGAAAAATCTAATAAAACTTAAATATGTAATGAAAACTAAATATAAAATGAATAAATATAAAATAAAAGCTAAAATATAAGGATTTATCCATCTGTCTCCATTGGTAGAGCGAGTTGGTATCTTGAGCCAAGTACTGTCCCTGGGGTACAGCTGGGGCAAGCACTCACAGTCCAGTGAAGGAGAAAGAGACAATTATCTATGCAAGACGGAAAGTATTACCATCAGCAGGAGGTACTAGGCTCTGCATGAGAGAAGATGGTGGGGGCACTTAACCTTGACGATGAGGGGAGTCAGGGAGGAGGGTAGAAAATCACATCCATGGAGAACCCTGAACAACGTGTTAAGGATGAGAAGAGGCTGAGCATGAAAGGGAACAGAATATTCCAGGTGGGCGTTTTTTATGTCAAACCACGACACTCTTCTTAAGGTCCCACAAGGACTGCCCAGCTCCCTTAGAAGAACACCTCCATGCCTTACTCTGGCCTTCAGGGGTCTGCATTCCTGGCCCTCACACATGGATGAAGCTGGCCTGAGCCAACTGCTTTCCTGCTAGGGTTCCTCCTGGCAGGTAGCCCATGTCTTAGGAATATGTATGACTTGCTAAAGTTAATTTCTTTCCCACAAAAAAGCAGAGCATATTCATGATGGGTTCACACTTAAATAAATGAAGCTTCAGCCATACAGCAGCGGAAGGTGTCCTTGGTTCACACATAATCCGAAGAGGGACTTTCTCTAGCTTTGACCCTTCTGTACAGTAGTAACTTTTTTCTCCACACAGGGTTAATGTTGCACAGGTGTGTAGATAAGATCCTATATATGGTTTTTTCCTCCAAGAGTTGATATTTGTTTCCTTATCCCTTTTTCCTCAGCTCCCCTTCCTACTGAACTCCCTGTATGACACACAATGCAAGCTCCCCAGTCTCACAGTAAATTCTCTTAACAATCTGGAATAATTCCTTCTTTATTTGTCCAGGCTTTTCAATACTATATAGACAGCAATACACACAATACTCATACATGTAAGCATATACAAAGAAAGGACTTTCACTGTTTTCCGAATGTTGTTTTTCTCATTCAAAATGTCTGGATGCTTCAAAGCCAACAGGTATAGGTGTAACTCATTCTGTTCAATGGCTAAATATTATTCTCATGGTATTGAGGCACCATAAATTATACACTCCTTTCCCTATTCATGGAAATTCACTTTGCTTCCACTTTTTGCTACTAAAGACAAGGCTTCCATAAACGTTTTTACATATGTCTTCACAGTCTGATGTTTTATTTCTATGGGATAGATTCCAAGTGGAATTGCTAGGTAATGAATTATATTTATATTCATATGCATATATGTATATGTGTTGTATATTTCTGTTTATTTAATGTTGCCAGATTGCCTTCCAAAGGGGTGTACCACTGTTACATTTCACTAGCAATCAAATTACTCTTTTTCTCACATCTACTGCAGTAATAGGTATTAAAGATCTTTTCAGTTTTGTCAGTTTAAAATAGGTAAAACATGATAACGTCGCTAATACATAGTGTTCATTTTTCTGACTACTAGAGAGTTTGAACTTCTTTTAAGAGTTTTTGGGTATGTGTGTTTTCCTTTCTGTAAACTGTCTATTCACATTCCTGTCTCTTTTTCTATTGGATTGCTTTCCAGTCATTTTTTTCTAAGTGCTCTTTGAATATTACAGGTCTAAACACTTTGCCTGTCATAAATATTTCAAATATTTTTTCTAATTCTATTATTTATCTCTTGAATTCATGTAATTTGCCATAAAAACTTAAACAATTTTTATGTAATCTGTATTTGCTTTGATAATATTTGAGTTTTTGAGTCTTGGTTTAAAAGTCTTCCCAAATCCTGGCTTTTTTCACATAGTCTCCTAAATTTTCTTGGCAGTTTTTTATTGTTTCTTTTTTTTACATTTAGATCTTTAATTCACCTGGAGTTTGTTATTTTTATGTTATGTAAAATATTTACTTTTATTTTTTCATGTAGTTAGCTAGTTTTGACAGTTCCATCTATTTTCCTAGTGAATTAAACCATTGTCCTTGTCATAGATTCAATTTTCAAGTGTATGTGACTTAATATTTCTGTTCTCCAGTCTTTCCCACTGGTCCATTTGTCTATTCCTATAGCCACCATTGATATATAATCCATGTGATCTCCAATTTTTCCTAGCCTCCTTGCAATTAGGCAGAGCCAAGTATGTGACAAGTTCAGCCAATAGATTGTAAGTGGAAATGATGTGTGAAGCATAGAAATGTGTGTGTGTGTGTGAGAGAGAGACAGAGAGGAGGGAAAGAGAGAGACTACTCCATGTATTTTCTTCTGCCAAGTCCCAAATGATGCAGTTACGAGATGACAGTTCTGATGACCTTGCATTTCCGAGTAACCGTGTGACACAGACCCATGCCAAGTCACTACAGACATGCAGCACGAGCAAGGAATGAACTCCTGTTGTGTTGAGTCACTAGAGTTTGGGTTAATTTGTTACTCATCATGATACAGTTTACCCTGACTACCATACGAATAAAATATTCTGATATCTGGTAAGGCAAGTTCATCTGAGTGCTCATTTCCTGTTTTTCTTATCTATTTTGGGGCATCACATTTAAGTTAATATTTTTTTTCCAATATTTAAAAGCCCAAACAAAACAAACTTCTTTAGCATTCTAATTGGAACAGCCTGGAATTTATTTTATTTTGACAAAATTGGCATTTTTTTCCCTGCTTTTTTTCTCCCCAAATCCCCCCAGTACATAGTTATATATTTTAGTTGTGGGTCCTTCTAGTTGTGGCATGTGGAACGCTGCCTCAGCATGGCTTAATGATGGTGCCATGTCCTCGCCCAGGATCCGAACCCTGGGCCACTAAAGTGGAGCACACGGACTTAACCACTGGGCCATGGGGCTGGCCCTGACATTTCAATATTAAGTTTTTTCATGAAAGAACATGGTATGCCTTTCCATTTCCTCAAGTCTTGTTTTATGCCTTTGAAAAAGATTTTATAATTTTGGTTAAAATAGATCCAGTCTTTTGATTAAATTTATTTCCATACTTTTTTAGTCTTTGTTTCTATTGTAAATGAAATATTTTTCCTTTTTTGCCCTAGATCAAAGAAAAGCTATCGACTTCTGTGTAAATGAATTTGTGTGTATGTGAGTGTGTGTGTATGTATATGTATTTCT